CCACCAGGCCGCTTGTCCGCCAAGCCCATACACTCAGGGACCTGCAATTATCATATTTGTCAGGTAGTGCATCAACGTGTTGCTGGTGATTTATGACGACAAACGCTGACTCCTGGGCTCATCGCGTGGGGAATAAATTGCACAGCAGCTCGGAGACGTGAGATGACTTATGCAGTATTTTCTTGCTGTGGAAATAATCAACTTCTGCAAGCTCATTTGTTATGGAAACGAAGCATTTGGTCCATCTGGGAATTGGGAGTCGGGGGGGGGGGGGAAAAAAAATAAAAAAAAAAAAAAAATTAACTTAAAAAAAAAAATAGATTCACTGCCATGAGGCGGTTGCTTAATGGACTGTACGTTTATTGACTAACTGGGCCATTAATCAGACTCTAATGTTAGTTACCATACGTTAATATGCAGAGGGCCCGCTATTCATCAGCTTGAGATGATATTGACAGTCCGAATCATAAAATATTAAACACGTAAATACTTCACCTTGTAACACAGCTATTCGTAAATAATTAGCAGATAAGTGACGCTCATATTTCTAATTCGAGCACGGGGTAGTGCATAAACGATATTCTGGGTGAGGTCATAGCTCACAGGAAGGCTGAAAGCTACCAAAGCACAGCATTGCATTTAAATTATTATTATTTATAAATCTGTGTGTATGCATGTAACGGGGCCAGTAAAAAAAACTTACTGTACCGTATTATAATCACACAAAATCTGTGAAATGATCAATGCGGGCTAGTGCACAAGCGATATTCTGGGTGAGGTCGTAGCTCACAGGAAGGCTGAAAGCTGCCAAAGCACAGCATTGCATTTAAATTATTATTATTTATAAATTTGTGTGTATGCATGTAACAGGGCCAGTAAAAAAAAACTTCCTGCACTGTATTATAATCACACAAAATCTGTGAAATGATCAATACCTGACGTGTTCTTTTACTATATCCTCCATGATCAAAGGGTGGAACAAAAAAAAAAAATGTTCCTCTACTTCAGTAATTAATGTGGCACCGCCTCTTTCAAGTCCAACTCCCGCCTTTAACTCTCCTCTTTTTCTCTTGATGTACATGAGGAGGTAAGCGATTTTAGAGCCGGAAAAAAAAACAAAAAACCTTTGTTTTCCTTTACAAGTTTAAGTATTTTAATACATTGCTGTGCCGTGTAATTTGTGTAGGGGCACTCTCTATCACTCTAATTGACGGGAGGACATTGTTTTCTGCTACTTTCGTCAGGTTTTGGATAGATCAGTTGAATCGATATAATTAAAGACATTTATACTCAAAATTCCCAATGCTCTTTTATTTCGTACATGAGGAGGCAAGCGATTTTAGAGCCGGAAAAAAAAACCTTTGTTTTCCTTTATAAGTTTAAGTATTTTAATGCACAGCTGTGCCATGTAATTTGTGTAGGGGCACTCTCTATCACTCTAATTGACGGGAGGACATTGTTTTCTGCTACTTTCGTCAAGTTTTGGATAGATCAATTGAATCGATCTAATTAAATACATTTATACTCAAAATTCCCAATGCTCTTTTATTTTGTATTAGGTTTGAATGTAAAAAAAAAAAAAACTTTGGCGCTCATGCACGTCCTCTCTGGTTGGCGCCGGAGATTTGGGTCATACGTAACACAGATGACAGACATTAATAGATGAACACAGATCATGGCATCGAGGAAGGGGGTTTTCAAGACGATGTAATGGGTTCTGTTTTGTGAAAACAATTTGGAAGAGAGTGTAAGATCGTCTTGACCAGATGGTTGCCGTGTGTAGGCTTCGTAAATGCAGAGTGAAATATAACACGGAAACGCGACCATTTGTCGATACGTGTACGATACCGAATGAATGAATCGGCGTCGCCTAAAGCAGACCAAAAAGGTGTTACTGCCTTATTTATTCAAAAATTTACTATACTAAACATTCGAGAGTGCTATTTTCTTTTTTTTTTCTTCAAAAAACGCATTTCAAACATTGTTGTTTTGGAGTACATTCGAGAGTGCTATTTTCTTTTTTTTTTTTTTTTTTTTTTCAAAAAACGCATTTCAAACATTGTTGTTTTGGAGATTAATGGCATTTACATTCATCTCAATGGTGCAAGATGACTGCAGATCTGAGTGTTTTGAGTCACGGAACAAACTAAATATAACTAAATGTAATATATTTATCTACAAAAGTAAAATGTATATCACACAATCCAAAATATACGCTGGAATTTATTTTAAATTGCCCCTGTGTTTAAATCTATATAGGGCACGACACAGTTGATTTTAAAAGCAAATGAACGGACAGAGGATCAAACAAGGACGAAAGAAGAGATATTTTTTACTTGTAAAAGGGACTTTGTGGACACCCTGTATAATACACTAATTTTTCCTCCAAATGTAGACACCACATTTGCATTATAAATGCAAAACAACCGTGTTTTTACAATTGATGATCGGTCCCAGATGTGTTTGTCAAGTAGCGGGCATGCTCGGAAATGCGTTTTAATGAGAAAATGTGTTTTCTATGAATAGTCTGCATGTAATGAATAGAATTTGCAGACTGATTCTTGCAATTCGCATCTTGTTTCGCTGCAAATTATTCCTCACAGTGCGTACCCGACACAATGTGGGATGTGCCTTTTTATATCAGATGTCATTTCTCACTTTTGAATGCGCTCACGCTTCACCGCTTTGTATCAGGCGGCTCTATGTTTAATATAACTCCGTATTAATTAAAACACAACAGATAAGCACCTATCTGCTGTGGCTCAGTTGTCGGCAAATGAGAAATAGACCCATTGTCCAATTAAAATGAGCCCATTTAAACGTACACCGTGTCATCATCAAACCTCCCCCTGCCTTCCTTTGTCACACTGCGTGTTTTTTTTAATCCCACAGTGGGAAGAAGTGAGTGGCTATGATGACTCCATGAGCCCCATCAGAACCTACCAGGTGTGTAATGTCCGACAGCCCAACCAGAACAATTGGCTCAGGACGGACTATATCCCCCGCAGGGGTGTACTTCGTGTCTACGTGGAGCTCAAATTCTCCGTGCGCGACTGTGCCAGCATCCCAAACATCCCCGGCTCCTGCAAAGAGACGTTTAATCTGTTTTACTACGAGTCGGACGGGGACACGGCCACGGACACCACCCCCCTGTGGAGGGAGAACCCTTATGTGAAAGTGGATACGATCGCCCCCGATGAGAGTTTCTCTCTCCTGGAAGCTGGCAGGATCAACACTAAAGTACGCAGCTTTGGCCCCCTGTCCAAGTCGGGCTTCTTCTTGGCCTTCCAGGACCTCGGAGCCTGCATGTCACTGATCTCGGTTCGGGTGTTCTTCAAAAAGTGCTCCACCACCATTGCAAATTTTGCCGTCTTCCCTGAGACTGCCACGGGGGCGGAAGCGACTTCCTTGGTCATTGCGCCGGGGGCCTGTGTGACAAACGCAATGGAGATGTCCGTCCCGCTGAAGCTCTACTGCAACGGTGACGGAGAGTGGATGGTTCCGGTGGGCGCGTGCACCTGCGTCGCTGGCTATGAACCCTCCGCCGATCGCGCCCAATGCCAAGGTATGTGGATTTCACCCTTTCATCGGTTTCACTCGCTTTGACATTTGTCAGCAATAAAAATACCATAAATATCATTCATTCAACAGCGATTTAACAACTGCTTTGGGAATGCACCACCCGTTGAATGCTAAGACAGAATGGGAAAGATTTCTGTGTTGGCACCACGTTTGCAGAGTTTCCGACAAAAACATTTCAACAAGTAAAACAAAATGAGAATGATCATAACAAATAAAAACATGGACACTTGGACCGATGAAGTGAAATTGAATCATATCCTGCCATGCCGCAGAGGTTGGGAATTAGGCAAAACTTGTTGAGAGTTTGAATTGCTAAAGGACACGATTGCCCCCAAATTTATTTGGCGACACAAAATCCAAATCCGAGGACTCTTTAGTGATCAATTCATCGATGATTTTGCTCCTCCCTAGTATCTAATGTGACATTTCAAGCATTATTGACCCAAAGCTGCTTAATATTTCCCCCCGCAAGTCACCCCAGTTTTTGCCCTCTCGGCATGTATTGTGCGGCTCCTGAATGGAGGTGAAGGAGGGTGGAGGAGAGGATGAATTAATGAGGTGTTGCCGAAAGGAGCGGCATACAAATACAGTGAGCGCAGGACACGAGGGAGGGGGGGAAAAAAAGAGAGAGGCGCAGAAAGGAGAGCCAATAGAGGGAAAATACAGATGGAAGCAGAAAAGAGACATTGGAAGTCCACAGATGAGAGGGAGAGATATTAGCCGACGAGGGAACGTGTGAATTGCCAAACATGGGACCGGAACAGCAGCCAAGAATGAACAAAATGAAAGAAAAAAAAAAAAAAAGAGGGCGGTGGGGGCGTGTAAATGCTGTGGGATACAGAAGCATTACCGTCTGTCTCACGTGGGCTGAGAAACAACGTCCAACGCGTGGCGGAGATATTTATCGTGACCATTTGGCGGCTCAAGGTTAAAAGCTTGCCGCCACTGCCTGATAAAAAGCTCTCCGGGGCCTCAGCCAGGGGTTGCGATGAGGAAGTGTAATTTCCTCGGCGGCCTCCTGTTAGTTAATCTACAGCCAGGCACACTCATTAACACCATTCAGAGCAACGTGAGCCAACATGGCCACGCGATCATTAATCACTCCGGCGTTTTACTTGTTGCCTCAGTGTGGGTGACGCGCTCAAGACAAAACGCTCTAGGGGGTCTCAAAACTTCCAGGCAAATTTTGACCACGCTCACAACTCAAAATATTGTATCTCAAACCGTCTTTCCCCAATCTCTCCATTGTGAGACGATTAAAGGTGCCATTCATCCATTTCTGTGAAACTGTGACAATTCTTGGCGGCGATCGCTCCCAATCAAGCTAGCTGCTAACACTCTTGTGTAGTGCAGCGACCCATGAAGCACTTTGGATCTTGCCAGATATCGGCAAATCTGTACCCGCGTACGCTATTCTGTTTAGCTTCCACAAGCACTTCTGATGCCAGGAGAAATGAGTCGATGTATTGTGAGGGTTCTTTATATGTTCTACTGTGGCGCCGCGAGAGTGGCTGCCTTCACAGCAGCTCCTACACTTTTTCTTCTTCTACTTTCTTCCTTTCACAACTTTGCTGCTGTAAATTGGGAATTTCTCCATTGTGAGACAAATAAAGGTTTTCTTATTCTTATTCTTACTAACACGCGAGGCCGTGATGTCCTTGGAATTTGACCGCTGTGTTTTCGTAGGGTCAGAAAGGACAATGCGACTACGAGCCTGACAAATACTTTTTTGGGTGTGTAACCCAGTACGCCTGATGCAAGCAGCCCACAGCGGGGAGTCGTGGGACTTGACAGCTATATGGTACTATACTATGTTGCCCCAGATATTTGCAAAATTGACGGAACAGAGCCATACAACGTTGAGTTTCTTCCTGACGGTGGAGACCAAATAAATGGTTCCCAAGCATTTTTTTAATTGAAGTACGTAAATGACTCAAAGGCCCGAGGGGCAATTGAAGTGCTGGGAACAAAATTCAGCCCGGAAATAGTCCCTTCAGATTGGGATACAAGGAGGTCCGGATTTTTATTACATTTGTCGCACGGTCTGCATCTTGTGTCAAGTAGTCAATAGACGAGAGAGCGGATCATGATTGCGGTCTCCGCTGATACCGGTGTCAGTATGAGGGGATGCTGGGATGCCGAAAATGAAAAATGGATTAATCTTGGTTTGATTTCACTTTTTGCGGTGTTCTGTACGAAACGCAGGGAATAATCGAGTTGAGGAAACGTCAGTGTATCAAAAAGTGGTGAGTCATCATCGCTCTGGAGGGCTTAATGGATTGAAGTAGGACAGTGGGGCGGCGATTCAACAACTTCTCCAAAGAGGCCACGGAAAGTGAAAACAAATAACCGAGAACCATAAATCAGATCAGAGTGTGTGGAACCTGAAGGCCTGTCGCGAGGCAGCAATTCTGCACCGTCACTTAGCGACTTGAGCTTTTTTTTTTTTTTTTATTGAGCCATTTTCCAGCTACAATGAGAGGCTCTTAGCTGCAAGGATTATTCTAAAAGCGCCATTGTTGAGAATTAGCCCGCAACTTGAGTTCATACCGAAAAAGCACTTGAGCCGGCCAGTTAATCACTCACTGGTTGGGTTTCATGAGCCCTCGTGCTGACAGGACAGATGTTTGCCAGAGACCCCACTTTTACACCACCGCTTTGGAATGTGGCAAACGGGGCTGCCGAGGCTAATTCGTCCACATCTTTTACCACTAATCCCCTTGATCAGAACCTGATCTTCAGTCTTGTCTTCATATGGTTTACATTTCAATTTTAGCGAGATTTAACATCAAAGGTAATCCGGTAGATCTTTTCACCATGACGTCAAATTTACTTCCGGATGGCCAAAGACCGAGCTTTCTCCGCCAGACCCGTGACTAAACAAACCCTGCGGTGTCATTTGATTAAGGAAGAGCGTTTTGGAAAACAAGGTTAATGGCTTGTACCACCATAATATGACCGGGTGAAGTGTCAGTCAGCTGTTACGTCAGTACAGATCACCACTGTGAAGCGCGGCACTCGGGAGGCCGTCTTCCAACCCGATCATTTGTGTCCGTGTGTGAATGCCCTCTGGCACCGCGATCACATTCGCCAAATTTGCCTTACATCACCTGCGCCACAACTTAGACCTGTTTGCAGTTGGTCTAAAGTTTAGTCTACCTTGAGCTACCTGATTTGTTAGATGCGACAGGGACGTGTAAAATAAAAAGCTCTCGGTCTGCTGGAACGTCCAGCATGGCACAGCGCGTTCGTTCTGCCAAATTCCCAAACAAGCTCAACGAGGCTCGCATCGACCCAAAAATCACGGCAGTTTTTACGAAAAGCACACATGCACGAAAATGGAGTTATCGTGTTGAAACTTTTTTTTTTTTTTAAACTCAAAAAGCGGTGAAAAACTTAGCTGTCAAGAAATGTTGCAAATTCTGCATCGCTTTTTTGATGAATCATCTCAGCTGCCTGAGATCTCTTCTCTTTGCTTCTGTCAGCTCGTCATATGTCCAGCCGTTGAAAAATGAGGAATGTCATTTTTTTTTTTTTTTTTTTTACCTCAGAAGGCAATAATCTGCCATTGTTTCAATAATGCTCCTTGAACTTTAAGGGAACAGGTTAGCATGGAAGGTGGTCGACTGGTTAGCACAGCCACCTCACAGTACAGAGGCCCTGGGCCTCCCTGTGCCTGCGTAGGTTTTCTCTGGGTACTCAGATTTCCTGCTACATTCCAAAAACATGCACGGTAGGTTCATAAAACTTTCGAAATTGTCCTTCGGTGGGATTGGAAGTGTGATTTGCTGTTTTTCGATCTGTGCCCTGCGACTGGCTGGCAACCAACTTGAAAATCCAAATTAGAGGCAAAAGATGTGGTTGAAGAGGGCTGTTTTTTTTCCACACAGATCATTTTGTCATCATGACAATTTTAACAAGTATGGGGGGAAAAAAATGATTTCTTAATTTTTTTTTTCTCCAACTCACTATTTCAAGTCAGTCACTTTTCTACCCTGGCACCTAACAAACGTTATTTAGTTTCCCTCATAACTCTTGTCAGTTAATTTGTGTCTCGGCGTTGCTTCAAACACAGCGCTGATTTATAGGCTAATTATGAGAGAGCTCTGTATGCATTTGGAGGCTTGATGGTATCCTGAGAGCTGCGGGCTGATGGATAGGTTTAGGGTGTATCCGTCCCCTCGAAGGCATTCTCCATCTCTGTTTGTCTGAAAACACCAATCTCCTGTCAGCGGTCTATCTTCTTCTTTATCCCTTGTTTCCTCCTCTTCAACATTAAACTTCAGTGTCATCCAAGCTTCGAGAGATTAATGTCACCTATAAAAGGAGGGGGGGGGGCGGGGGGAAGCAAGACCAGATGCAAATACAAAGATAACGTTTTCTTAAATGCGGCCCATTTCTCACTCGTGTGCTGATGTCTCTGTAAATATCGAGCGTCACATCAGTGCACTGTTTTGTTCACTGACAGGTGTGACATCGACGTGTCGTTACCGTGACGTTACTCCTTTTTCTCTCTGATTGCTTTCTTTATTTCTTCCTTAGGTGGCAAAAGTACTCCAACTCTGTAGTATAGCTATGAATGCAAAAAAAAAAAAAAAAGTAGTTTAAAAAAAAAAAAGGGGGGGGGCAATCTGGTAATAGTCAAAGTACGAAAGAAACTGTTGCTCCAACAGATTCTCCTGTACTTTGATAAAAGTAAAAATTAATGTTCACTGTTAGTTACACACAAAACATATTTTGATGAGTAAGCACAACGAGGACAAAAAAAATGACTGGACACAAATTTGTTTCCCTCTTTTATTGACTTAGGTGACTGAGAAGACAAAAAAAAAATGTCACGTGTTCTTCGGGAGTGAGCGAGCATTGGCTCATCTTTGATGTTAGCAAAACAATGTGACCATAAGCTAATATTGTGATCTGGCTCACAAAACATGCTGAATTTGCACAAGATAACTGACAAAAAAATACTTACTTAAACAATACTTGTTTTCTCAACTCAAGTAAAGTACAGGCATCTGAAAAAAGTACAGTAACAAATGATTAAGTCCAGAAATAAATGTTACTTCCCAACGCTGATTTCATCTTCTCTCTCATCCAGCTTGCATCCCTGGGACTTTCAAATCCAAATTCGGTGATGGTTCCTGTGTCGCGTGTCCGTCCAACAGTCGCACGGGTGCCCGAGGAGCCAGTGTTTGTCCCTGCCAAAGTGGGTTCTACCGCGCTGATAGCGACCCACCTGACACCGCCTGCACGAGTAAGTCATCCCGCATTGAAAACGCTCCAAATAAATGCTGCTTGGGCTTTATGTCTTTGGACAAGAACATCGCACTGCTCGAGCGTTGCGATTATCTTAGTCCCGAACCCTTTTTGCGCCATGAACCAGTTTCACCGAAAGCACAAGTTTGATTGACCAGCAGTGAAGCAAATCAGAACAATTGATTAAAAATATACCTCCGCATTTCACTGAAAGCTCTCGTAATCACATAGTTCTTCTCGGCACATTATTTGCCCATCACCTTTTGGCGACAAACCTGGAGCTTCACTTTGCGCCATCACCTTCGTTCCTCGCCGCGAGCCCCACGGTCCCGCTGGCATGAATGTTTAAAGAGTAGAATAGCCGAAGCTAGTGAGGGTAACTGCTATTCTTATCTACGACCGGCATATTTTCCTCCTCTCAGAACCGTGCAGACAGTGCGGCACGTATGGAGACAGTGTCGCTCGCCTCCTTGGCCGGACATTTTGCTGCTCCTCAAAGCGTTCTTGTCCGAATGCGGATGGGCGAGTGAAAACCCCTCTGTAAATGGGCAAATTGTAAGACAAGATGAAAATACATGAAACACCATGTAATTAGAGGTTAATCGACTTCAAGCATGAGTAAAATCAAATCATAGACTAATCAAGTGCTTAGAGCGATCGTCCAGGGTGTGTAGAGTATTTTTCTAAAATTCTTCCAAGCAAAGCCGTCTTTTATTGCTCCTGCATAAAAAGAAAAACTTCATAAGCACATTTGTGATCAAATAATAATATAGGAGCAAATGTGTGCTATGACAGCAGCAAATCGTCGGCTTGCTGGTGCTAATGTGATCTGATGTACAGTCCAGATCAGTCGCGGGTGGACAAAGCTCTTAGCCCAGCGATGGCGCTGATGGAGAGTGACATGAGCTGCCTCGACTGTGTAAAAATCACTCCCGGGGGGGCCTTTCCACGCGTTAAATGACACACACGGCCCCGCAACTGTCCTCCCCAGATCCCTGTCGCGGGAACACTGTGCACTCTTGACGCTGACCAGCGGGCGCGTGCGCATACACACACGGGCAGGAACTCAGGCGGCACCTCCTCCGACTAAACATACACACACACACACACACACACACACACACACACACACACACACACACACACACACACACACACACACACACACACACGCGCGCGTAGGCCTGACACTTGTGTCCCTGTGGCCTGGCAGAGCTTGTGTGCCAGCCTGTCCTTTGTGTGGTGTTGCACAAACGAGGTTAAGCCAGCCGGCAGCTTGGGCTCAGCGTGCGTTTTAGTCGGGCGTCCAATTAGAAGAGGCTCCACTCTGAACCGTCTCTTTTCTAATTAGAAAGGACGGGGCGAGGGAAAACGTGGCTGAGGGCGAAGTTAGCGGATGGCCGGTTGAGACGAGGATTCTCTCCCTACTCCTCTCAACTTCTTTGGGCTCTGCGGTGACTCAGTTCATCCTTATGACAGCAGATACATCACAGTATTTTCGTACCGCACAATATGAATATAAATGGGTGGTTCTCAGAAAGTATGCTCCAACCAGATGGTCGAACGCTGCCCCACTTTTTTTTCTTTCTATTTACAATAAATCACCATATTTCACTGCTTACAATATTGCAGACATACTGCAGTGATAAAAGAAACAGCTTGACTGAGATTTGTGCTGTTGTTTGTGTTTGAATGCATTTTGTATGGTGGGAAAAAAAAAAAAACCCCACCACAACCACTTCCTCTTTGTGACATGCCAGCACACTCGTGTAATTTAGAGCCCTTTGTGCCCTTAAAATGTTTCCTTAGCTGTCCACAAGGTACCACTCACAATGGACTAATGTCCTGTATTGTATTCTCTCACTGGAATAACTTCATTAAGTTGAACCGAAAGTTCAGTGCATTCTCTGCAAAATACAATGTTCGCATTTTTCAAAAACTCTTTTTTTTTCTCTCTCTCTCTCTGACGACAGAGTAATTATCGAGTAGTTTTCGTTGTATATGTGAGTTGCTCCATGTACAGCACTTTGTATGCAGCGATGGCTGTTTGAAAGTGCTCTAAAAATACAGTTGAGATGAGTAAGCTAAGTGTCAAGCGTGGGGTCCAGCTTTTTTGCTAACACACCTTCAATAAAATAGATCGCGAAATTATTTCACACAATATTTTCAGTTGGTCTAAAAGTCTAAACACTCCTGTTCAAATTTCAGGTTTGTGTGCTATATATATAAAACGCTTTACTGTATTATATTTAAAAAATGAACTAAAAAGCCAATCACGGAGGCGGACATCCAGTTCTTGGTGATGTCACCATTGTGCCATATTTACTGCACTTAAAAGACGTCTGTCTGCGTTGAACGCGTATATTTAATGCCTTGGAAATTATATATTTTTTAATCCTCTTGGCTTGTCAGCGCTTGAAATGCTGCGCATGCAATCGATATCCCCGTGTCATTTCATCATTGACCCGTGTTTTGAACACCTTGCAGCTATCCCATCGGCTCCCCGCAATGTAATTTCCAGTGTGAATGAGACCTCGCTGTCCCTGGAATGGGAGGAACCCGAAGACAGCGGTGGCAGGAATGACCTGGTGTATAACGTGGTGTGTAAGAAATGCCTGCGGGACCGCAGCCCGTGCACGCGCTGCGACGACAACGTGGACATCTCCCCTCGAAGGCTGGGGCTGCGGCAGAGGAAGGTCGTGGTGAGGAATCTGCAGGCTCACACCCGTTACAGCTTTGAGGTGCAAGCGGTCAACGGTGTCTCCGGGAAGAACCCCACCTCTCCGCGTTACTCCACAGTCAACATCACCACCAACCAGGCCGGTTAGTAGACCTGTCAATGACGCTTCCGCGTGTGTCCACAAACCCAAGTTAATTCATAGGCCTCCCCGCGATCAATATCACTTAAAAGCCCAATGAAAGAGGCAGTTTATTGGATCCTACGCTCAGTCAATGTCAATGAGTTTCTTAATGATCTCGTAGCAAGGGTAGGGGGGGGGATTCCGGCCACGTGACCTGACTTTAGTCACTCATGAAATTGTCGGATTTGGGACTCGACTTGCTTGATTTTTGCCACAGTAAATTGGGACTTGCTTGAAACGGTTTTTATGGTCGCACACAGGTTGCCTCTTCGCCACTCAAATCTACATTTCTTTAAAATTGTTGGCAAAAGTCTTCTGAACGCATCCGTGGAGAGGCGTTGCGGGCATGTCCGACTCGGGGGGTTGCGTGGGCTTCCCTGCTTGAGCTGCTGATCCTCCAACCTGAATGTGGATAACCAGAACACAATGGATAAAACTGACCATATTTAGAAATGAGCTTTTGCGACACGATGTGATTGAATCTCACCTCTGTCGATTCACAGTTGGAACAGTAAAAACTGTAGACAGTCTAAAAAAAAATATGTCGAGGTACAGTACATGGATTAAATGCCAAGAAAATGATCTCGGCTATCAACCAATGTCACCTTCATATGTCTTGGCCCAGCCAACTTTTCAGCACCTTTCACACACTGTAATCACTTAAATCAGCCCACACTTAATCCACTTTACTGCGGTTAATGGAACGCAGACAATGGCTGCGAGATGAGTCACTTTTTCGGCTTCATCAACCCATGCAGCCAATGTGAAACACGCACCATTTCTTCGACCTTTACTGCCGGAGAGTTGGGCCTATTAAATTTATACTTTGATTCAATTTGTAAGATCCTACTGTAAGGTTTGGTTTGAAGGCGGGTGAGCATGAGCAAAATTAGTCCTTGAGTGGCAAACCTATGGGGCAAAGTGTCTTTTTCAGCCCAGGTGAAGCTGACTGACAACAAGAAACAAAAAAAAAAAAAAACAAACAAATATCACACAGACATTGGAGAGATTTGTGTTATTCTTCAAAATAATGAAGCAACTCCACCCCCCCACCTTTTTTTTTTTTTTTATCATATGCTTTTGCTGCAGCACCGTCCGCAGTCCCAACAGTCCATCTGATGCGTTCCACGGCAGACACTCTGAGTCTATCATGGTTGCCTCCGGAGAAACCTAACGGGGTCATTCTGGACTACGAGATTAAATACCACGAAAGGGTGAGTTGGAGACTTCATCTTTTCCGGATGCTGGGAAATACAATCTTCAAGTGCTGCGTGTGAGGGAGTCATTTCTATTGATGGAGGGCCTCGGCAGCTCCTGCAATGTTGAATCGTTGGTATTGATCAAGTTCCTGGCAAGGGCCCGTATGGTTTAATGTGTTCCTTTTATGACCTCCAACGGTCAAACGACCTTCATATTGCAGAAAAATTCTCAACTGGAGTGTTCGCTTGCCTGATGATGTCTGTTTAACAAGGGGAGACTTTTATTTTCACATTAACAACACTGAAAATTGCCAACGGGAATTTTCCAGGTCCTATGCTAAAGTCATAACGATATTACGGACTTTAGTCTGAAAAGTAAAATTAAATAGCCGGGCTCGTCAATTGATGAGACAATGATATTTGATTTTGCGGAGTGAAAATTTGCTCCGGTAAGCATTTTGATGACTTTTTAGACAATACAGTACTCTTCCAAAATTCACATTTTCACAGGGAGCTCGATCTGAAATGCCGCAAGATGCCTCGAAAGCCTTGTCTAAATAGGAATTGGTGTCAAGGAAGTATGATGACATTTTGTTTAGACTAATGGACAATCCTTGTTTGCTTAGCCCAAGTTGTTAGTCGACTGACTTTAGATTGTAGTCGACGCTGCGCAGACCTCCTCCTATTGCATCAGTGTTGTTGCTCTGAGAATAGGCTGTTGTAAACATTTTTCGAGGGGAGCGTCAATTACTCACAGCAGGGCTCAGTCCCGAACCCCAGTGAATAGCCATTTTAAATTCAAAATGTGACCTTCGTCAATTCTCCCGCGTCGTCCCGCTTGTACAGCACAATCGTAAGAAAACTATCCCTCCTTGTGATGACGCAAAGTGATCAGTAAACATCAACCGTCACGTCTTGCAGGGCCAGGCTATGTCACACACGGTCACGTCCCAGCACAGCTCAGCCAAGGTGGAGGGGCTGAGGGCCGCCACGCCCTACGTTGTGCAGGTCCGAGCTCGCACTGTCGCAGGATACGGTCGCTACAGCAACCCCATGGACATCAGCACCAGCCTGCACAGTAAGACCTCGGTTTATCTCTGCCGTGATCTGTTGCTATTGTTGACGGTTTTATAGCCTCGTGGTTTTAATGGCTTCTGCTACCCGGGTGGTACACAACACTGTCTAATCCCCGCAGCCACGCTTTGACTGGTACTCATTTGTGCCTTTTGTGTGATTCGGTCCAGGTGATCCTCAGAAGTCTGTGCAGGATCAGTTGCCTCTCATCATCGGTTCCGCCTCCGCAGGGTTGGTGGTCATTGTTGCCATGGTGGTAATTGCTGTTGTCTGCCTCAAGTAAGTGCGCAGCACTGACAACGTGAACTACATGTTTCATTTAGTTAATTGGAGCCTGAATAAAGGGGCTAATTAATTGCTTCCATGCCTTCAGAGGTGGAGATAATACTCTGTACTTAAGTTGAAGTACTTTTATTGTTTAAAAAAAAAACAAACAAACAAACATAAAGCCTCTGGCATAAGTTGGAGTTGTAATTCAACTCCTGTATTTAAAATAGGGGTCAGGGGTGGGTGTTTGAAGACTCGTAGCCATGGATATTCCGCCAGAGTTTCAGCAGAGCACCAAATGTAACAGCGTGAGAAGGCAGCGGTGTTCTCGCTGCGGGTGTGCTCTTGAATGGACGAGAATGTTTGAAACCTTCTCTCTGGTGTCTTGTATATTAAAATGAAATTTGAGTTACAAGAGAGCTGACTTTGTCAATGATCATTTCACGAATGGTTGACCGATAGGACTTGTAAAATCTTCTTGTAGTATTTGCACTTGTTGTCTTCCATCCAGCGCATGCCTTCAGAGTGAATCTCCACTTAACCTTCAAAAATGGAGCCAGTATTGAAGCAAATACAGCTGTTCATTTATCTGATGGCGATAAAATTAACAGCTGGAAAAAGTCGAGACAGATTTTTATGTGACTTTGTTTCCAGGAAGCAGCGCAGTGGATCGGAGCTGGAGTACACAGAGAAACTGCAGCAGTACAGTAAGTTTATGTGTTCTGCAGTTCTGCTTTATCGGTCATGCCTGGACTGTTAACTACCCGATTCAATAAAGTCACCTGACCCGGCAGGAAACAAGTTTTTGCATTTGCACAATCCCTCCCATTCCATCTGGACAATGTTTTGCTGTGTGTTGTACATTAATTGAGCTAAATATGCTGTCAGGGTGCCCTTTCGACATTTACTCAGAGACCGCAAATTAATTGGGATTCTGGCCGGACAACAACGCAAGTCTTTCTTTTCATCACGAAGCTTGGGCGGATGTTTTTTAGTCTGTGAGAGTCATGTGCCCAACACAGCGGTACTTTCAACCTCGAATCAGCTCTGGACTACTTCACAATCTGTAAAACGAACCACAAAAAAAAATGTATTCCAATTTAAAACTGGAGACTGCAATTTCTGAAGAAAATGTGGTGTGACTGCTAAAAAGCTGACTGGTGGGGAAAAAAAAAAGCTTAACTGAAAAACTGTTGAACATCTCAGTTTCTCCAGGTGTGAAAGTGTACATTGACCCTTTCACCTACGAGGACCCCAATGACGCCATCCACGAGTTTGCGAAGGAAATCGACATTTCCTGCATAAAGATTGAAGAAGTCATCGGTGCAGGTGAATAGCTCTGCTGCCTTTGTCCGAAAGGGACGACCAAACGAGTCGCGTTCATGAATGATTTATCTGAACAGGAATGTGCCATCAAGCCCTCAGGTTTGTTCTGTGTGATGGGCTTGAAGGCAGAAAAAAAAGGACTTTGGATTCTGTGCGTGCATTGCGGGGACATATGCGGGTGGGAAGGGGCGGATTGAGGTGAAAATCCCTCTCAACCTGTTTTTGTTTCTCTCCGGCAGCATGTTCGATCCTTATTTCACCTCTGAATGACAGTGTGATCGACTATTATTCCTTCCTGTTTTTTTTATTTTTCTTCTCCTTGTCTCTGCTTTTTTTTTTTTTTGTCAATGTTTGGACTCAGGCACCACAAGCACAACACCCAAATTCCTCACCCGTCCACGTTGTCCGTACACCACTCCCAGACTGCACACTCGATCACGACCAGTCACCCCTTCGCTCCCTGACATCTTTACCCTTTGACCACTTGCCTGAGTTGCCTCTCCCATTTTGCGGTGGCGGGGCGGGCCATGCATTTGGTACCTGGGCCTTTAATTTTGTCACATCAAACTATAAAACAAACAAAGAAGACAGAAAGGGCCTTTAATGGTAAAATAATCATTTACAGATATACAACTATGACACGCACTGTGAGTGGTGCTGAGTGACCGCGTGATTCAACATCAGTGTCTTTTTACATGGTGTTCACTATTCACTCCACAAACTGCGTCATTTTTTCTTATGATAACCCACACTTTCTACCAATTACCACGGTACATACTCTGTTTATATATATATATATATATACACACAATATAAACACACTCACGTACTTGGTTTGAGTGTGAGGAGCCTAAACTTCTCTGACGTGCAACATATTGGCATTTCTCTCCCTCATAATCAACGTGACAAACCGAGATTCTCCGCCTAATCCTTATCTTTGACTCAAAAACTGTGCTAAACTCAAATCCACAGCAGTGCAACACCACCATCGACAGGCATCTCTTAATAATTACAGTGCTTTACACACCTGTATTTCATAGACAAGCTGGGCGAAGCCCTCTTCCATGCTTAGTGCCTACCCACTGAAAAATATTGTCAATGACGAACATACCATTGTAAACATCCATAGCAATGAATGAGCAAAACGTACTAATTGTGCAGATAGCTACTCACGCATCTTGCTCGTCGAAGTTGGCTCGAACAAGTTTTGCTCTGACACCCAATCAGAGGAAGAATTTGTCATTTGACTAGCTCACCATTTCCATTTTTTGACACCCCCTAACACGCTCGCACACAGTTGGGCACTGACCTCACTCAAAATCATCCAAGTTCCCTCCCTTCATACAGTCTCCAGCCTCCCCTCCTTTTCTTTCCTCAACTCACTAGACCCTTTTCCCTCATGGCCCTCACCTCCTCCCTCTGTCCCCCGCACCCCTTTTTGGCCACGCCCCTTGTATCACCTCAGGCGAGTTCGGCGAGGTGTGTCGTGGTCGGCTTAAGCAGGCCGGCCGCAGGGAGATGGTGGTGGCCATCAAGACCCTGAAAGCGGGCTACACGGAGCGCCAGAGGCGGGACTTCCTAGCCGAGGCGTCCATCATGGGCCAATTCGACCATCCCAACGTCATCCGGCTGGAGGGCGTGCTGACACGGAGCTGCCCCGTCCTCATCATCACAGAATTCATGGAGAATGGCGCGCTTGATTCCTTCCTGCGGGTAAGCCTGATGGCAAGTGATCACCACATCACATCCAACTAAAGAAGAGAGAGGCACTATGAGTTGCAATATAGGTCAAAAGTAGCCTCTCACACTCAGGATTTAAAAAAAAAAAATGGGTGAGTTGATTGAGAGGTATTTAGTGAGGGAGGGTTTTTTGGGTGGTTTAGTGAGAGATTACAGTGTGTGTGAAAGATTTTCTGTTGAGTGTGAGGTTTTTTTTTTCTTTTTTGGTCTATGTGTGTGTGTGTGTGTGTGTGTGTTAGAGGTTTTGTTGCTGAGTATGAGATGTTTTTTAGGGTGTGTGAGTTTTTTGTGTGTGTGCGAGAAAATTCTTGGTCGTGTTTTGGTCGTGTGAATTTTTTGGGTGGGGCGTGTTGGGTGAGTCCCTTTTTTGTGCATTTGACACATGTTTTGGTGTGTGTGAGAGTTTTTTTGGTGTGATTTTTATTTTTATTTTTTTAAAACGTGGGAGTGTTTGCATCAGAGATACTTTGTTGCGTGCGAAAGGCAAGGAATTTGATGTTTTGATGTTGGAGGTTATTTGTTTTGAGAGAGCATTTTCTTGAATCTGAGAGCCTAATCTTGTTTCCCCTCTCGAGGAACATCTCTCAAAACATGCCAAAATGGCAGTCTCCCACGACACCCCCGCGTTATCGGGATGTGTTACGCTTCGTAAAACAGCCCGAGGCATTGACTTGCTGAGTGATAGAGATGAAATGTGCAATGTAACGTTTGTCGGCAGGCGCGGTCTCTCTGCGTGACGCTCTGATGCTGACACCTTTTTCCTCAACACGCTAACTCCAGGTGGAAAACTGTTGCGTTTGAATGCCTGCTTCAGTGTATTCCCGGAGTCTTTACGTGACTACAGAGTACGTTAGCGATCAGAGTTCTTCGCTTTGCGCCGCCCCCGCAACGTGCCGAACAGAGACAGGATGAGAAATGAGGCGTCGTATATTACATTTACAACTGTGCGGGGCTATTACGTGCCGTTTACATCTGATAAAAAGGCATGGTTGAGCTGAGAGAAAACTTTTAGATGAAAAGGGGTTTCTTAATATTTTTGGTGAATCTGTATTCTGACCTTCAATGACCTTTTTTCTGGTTACATACAGCATATCCACTAAGCGTGCGTGTCACACACAAACACACAATCTGGAGTTGAAGGCGGTGTCCAAATGCCAACTTTGCAGCGGCCAACTTTACTTCATCCGCAAATGCAGATCTTGCAGTTCCGCCATGTAGAAACTACACCTCTCCTACTCGGAATTTAAGGGGAATGAGAGGAGCAGCTTCAATTGGAATCCAGTCGTTTGTTCAAAAAGGAGTAGTCCAGCAATTCACAAGTTTTTACAGTAAAATTCCCAAATTTCCATCATTAAATTAATTTCTGTCTTGACTTCCTCCCATATTTCTTGACCGGTTCAAACCACTCCAACATGAATATATTCAACTAAATCAGGACTTTTGCCCAATCGTGGAATTCCCCAATTTTCCCAATAAAAATCGGCACTTGCCAATTAATGTTGACACCAATAAGTTGTCTGCAGGAGCACTGTCAACATCATTTTATGACTTTTAAATTCCTGCGTGGGTCCAGCCGAGTGAGCCGCAAGACATTTATTACAGCCACATGCTTCACCATCACTTGGCGAGCTGTATAATTAATCAGCCGCAGCACGTTAAATGGCATGTAAACATAGCAGCAAACGCGCTTATAAATTTTGTTGTGGTCATTCCTCATTAAAATCAATTAAAAAGAAAGAGTCAAATGAATGTTTTTAGGGTCTTTACAAAGCCATTAATGTTCAGAAAATGCGTCTGGAGAAGTCAACACAATTGTTAAAGGGTGCCTTGATTTGATAGACTTTGCGCTGTTCATGGAGAAACGAATGTCCGCTCGGTCTGTTCCTCCTTATGGCCATTGTTCCGAGCGAGTTGTCCAATCATAAAAATAACAAAACAAAAAATATAACAGCATGTGTGTTCTCCCCGGGTCACGCTGTCACACTAACTGTGACTCAAAAGCACTGCGAGTTCTAGAGTCGCATTTAAAGAAGGTACAACTGGAAATAAAAGCAAAAAATGCTTACGTTATATCATAAACATCCAAACCCGCAGTGTTGAATTTGACTTCAAAGAAATCTTCTGTTCTACGAATCTCAATTTGCCGTTTCAGCCTTGACGAATACAATTTTGAACACAATTGTGTATTGACGTTTCTCGTTATTAATTCCGCTCTCATTCTCAGACGTTAAGCTCCGATGGAGTGCTGATCCATGACAAATTTTGAGTTTATTCCCATTTGGTCTGAAGAAACAAACAAACAAATAAATACATACATGAAACTAAAGCCTTTTTGTTTCAGGCCAGCCATAAGAGAAGAAAATGGAGAATCCTCTGCAATATTTAGGACAAAAAGTCTGCATGGGGCTGGTCGGCATGATGGAGCCTATCACAGTTGATGGGTGGGAGGCAGTGAACACCCTGGACTGGTCACCAGCCAATCACAGGGCACAGATAGACAAAAAAAAACATTCACGCTAACATTTACACCGACAATTGCAGAGTACAATATTCAGCCTCCATTTTTTATTTTATTTTTTTGGGCAACAGTAAGGAGTCTAATCAAAAATCTAATTGGACAGAATTCTCATAAAAGGTCACCTGTCAATGACTGTCATGAAGCATGATGACAGTTCTTGTGTTTATGGCCTCAGTGACTGACCGGTTGTCTTGGATTGGATTCCTCGACTATATTCAGCTTTTTCCCCTTTTTTTGCAACGCATCCCTTGCTCTCTTTTTTTTTGTTTGTTTGTTTCCCTCTCCTCTAATCAAGCACCATCCTCTTGTGTCCTCAGCTGAACGATGGCCGCTTCACAGTGACTCAGCTGGTGGGGATGCTGCGGGGCATCGCCGCAGGAATGAAGTACCTGTCGGACATGAACTATGTCCACAGAGACCTCGCTGCCCGCAATATCCTGGTCAACAGCAATTTGGTGTGCAAGGTCTCAGACTTTGGTCTGTCACGCTTTCTGGATGACACTTCATCTGACCCCACTTACACAAGCTCACTGGTGAGTATTGTGTGTGTGCGTGTGTGTGTGTGTGTGTGTGTGTGTGTGTGTGTGTGTGTGTGTGTGTGTGTGTGTGTGTATGACTGTTTGCTAAGGTTTTGTCAGGAGAAAATGTCCCTATACGATAAGAAACAAGAAGCACGGTCAATGAATATAATGAAAAAAAAACATTAAATCAGGAGTGTTCAATTATTATGAAACGGTTAATTAAAATTGTGGTCTGAGACACAGTAGGGGAGAGTAAAAATTCAAAATTGTAGCCAATTTGTGCATGACAGCAGTCCACCTTTTGAAGTAATAGTCAACTGAGGTCCTCGGTACGCTAATTTAAAATGCCCACGTGGAGTCCTCCCTATAGTATGTGCCAATGTTGACATTACTGTGCCAGAACGCCCTTTGTTGCTGTATGGATGCCGACTGCCGATTGCTACATGACTTCAGTATTTCCTGGACTGTGACCGTTCACTCCCTGCGTGTGTGTGTGAGTGAGCAGGGAGGGAAAATTCCCATCCGGTGGACGGCGCCAGAGGCCATCGCCTTCAGGAAGTTCACCTCTGCGAGCGACGTGTGGAGTTATGGCATCGTTATGTGGGAGGTGGTGTCGTATGGAGAAAGACCCTACTGGGACATGAGCAATCAGGACGTGAGTCAGCACCGGTGGCGCGTCAACAAACGTGTCGTGCACATTTTCTTTGTCTTAAGTCGCGCACAGAAATTAGTGTTGAGTGAGATGGTGGCAGCAAGAAATACAAAGCTTGCTCACGGGCATATCTTCTCTCTGCTCTGTGAGAACAGCGGCTCTTAGTGAAGTGTATTTGGCTACTTTGTCTGCTGCTTGCTCTTAATTCCGCTGCATCTCTTCCTGCATGTCTTCTCAGTGCTGCCTGACATGTTGTGGCACAATGTGGTACTGCACTGAAGGCGCACACCTTTCAAATTTGGACTTGGGTTTAAAAAACAAACAAAACAAAAGTAGTGATGGAACACTGTACTCAAGTAAAGTACAAATACTTGAAAAAGCTCCAAACATACAATTGGAGATCCAAGGCACGTGCGGCTTTACATTTCAGACCGAGTCTGGTATCCACTATCTGACTAGGCCTGCACTCTTTATCTCCTCACTGCAGCAGTGTGTCTGTGTTCTGCTTTATTTCACCCTATTTACAACATTCGTCTGCTGGCCCTCCAACCCTCCCAAATATGCAGACTGCAAAGCTCCCCCCCCCCCCATGACACACCAACACACTCAGACACGGGCTGTTGTTACCCCCGGGCTATCTGCAACACACAGACGTCGCAACTCCAGCAGTGAGTTCACAGCAAATTGTGTCCCTCCATCACACTCGCACCGCTTGGCGATTCACAGTGGAATATCTGCTCGGCGCTGCGATTCAAAGTCAGACTTGTAATGCCTATAAGAACACAGACAAAAAAAAAAAAAAAAAGGGAGGCGCGATGAAAATTGCCAGCAACAAACGCCGCGTGCGGTAATGAAAGTATCAAAGTCAAGAGCCTCCATTGTTCCCACTTGCCTTTGCGCCACAGACTTTGCTCAATAAGCAACAGTCAACAAACAGAGGATGGAGAGAGAGGTTCTCGTCTGCTGCAAGCCCATCTATAAAAATGAAAATCCACGCAGAATGAGGAGAGGAGGACTGCAGGGGGGGAAAAAAAGCAATGTTTTTAGTCCCGGATGGCTTTTTTTTTTTTTTATTGTGGAGTTTTTAAACCATATGGAAAAAATTACACTGAACCCTGTGAAAATCCAGCAAGTGAACGTTTGCAGTCTCCACTTATTGTCTCCCCATCCATTTTTGGAGAATGTTGTTTGTGTCATTCCTGAAAGATCGCGAACTGAAACTGGCAGTATGCGATAGTGAGGCTTTTTGTTGCTCAAAATAAAATTTGTTGAGGCTTTTTACACGACACTCGAAAAGATTCAATCACTAATGCTTAGCATGTAAACATGTAGCATCCTAATCGCGAAAAGAAAAAAAAAGTCGAGGCCCCTCGCTCCCCTCTGAGCATGTTCAGTCAGATTACTCTGGTAAATTTGAATCACTTCCAAATCTACAACAAAGTTCATTTGATATTCCTCTAATTACAAACCGCCATTTTTATTTATTTTTTTTATGTCAGAAGTTATTTTATTTGGAAAGAAAAATCCCCGTCTCCTTTGACTTTCAACAACCATTCGAACGACCGGCCAATGCCTCGAAAATACTCTCGAGAGTACGCCAACCGTGATGAATAAAGTTGTCCGAAACTGTCCTTCAGGTGATGACCGCGGTAGAGCAGGACTACCGGCTTCCCCCGCCCATGGACTGCCCCATGGTGCTGCACCAGCTCATGTTGGAATGCTGGATGAAAGAGCGCAACCTGAGGCCCAAGTTCTCTCGCATCGTCAACACGTTGGACAAACTGCTGCGCAACGCCGGCAGCCTCAAGGTGGTGACGAGCACGTACTCGGGGTAAGTGGATTTGAGCTTCTGTCGTTATTTGTGGTTGAAATGAAAAGGTGATTTTTTTTTTTTAATTGTGAATTGTTGACCAATCTAAACTTTGAGAACCACTGGTTGATGGGACGAGAGCGTTTTCTTTTTCACACCCCAGCGCATCTGACAATTTGGTGCCTGGGGTTAAACTAAACTTGAGACCAGTCGAAATCATTGGAGATGTGGCATGACTCCCTCTTGTGACAGCCCTCGGATCAATGAGAAGCTCCAAAATGGAATTGCTGTCATGATAAGTTTTGTTTCTGGCATCTCACAAACGGTAGCACAAGTGGAAAAATTCTCCCGTCCGCCACTCATTGATCTCATTTCTACCTGCCTTTCAGACAAGGTAGTAAAATCACCCTCTGCAAATCATCTCAGGTTTGATAAATCACATGGCGTGTGCTCAATTCATCTTACCGGAATATACTCCTCCCAAAACCCGTAAAATGAACTACGTGGCATTTTGGCAGACGCCATCCTGGATGCCCTCCGTTAGCTCCGCATCTTCAGCTTTCACATGCGCTTTGCATAAGCAATCAAGTGTGTGCTCATTTTTCCAGGCAAGTAAATCAGGTCCGGGGAGTGAGTAGATTTCTTAGTTAAACTGAGACGAGCTCATCATTATTTCAGTGCATAGATAGGCTATAGTTTTTTTTTTTTTTTTTTGTACAATTGGTGTTGTACGAAAGTGAAAGGATTCTGTGAACACAGCTTTGAGCCAGCCGCCTGCTGTGCACCGACTCAGTGGGGGTGACTGCGGAGCGAAGGGAGCCTTTTTCTCTCCGAGATGGGTGTGAAATCCGACTGTGCGTTTTTGTCATACGACTGCCCACCCAAGTCAACGCGTCGGGTTTAATGATGTGATGACGAGCACTCGTCATTGAGGATTGGAACGCTAGATTTTCCCTGCCACGTTGAGCAGTTATCTTGTAATCAATCGTAATGAGCCAAAGTGCTCACAATGTGTTCCTTAGAAGCATCGATACTTGAGTGAAGAAAAAACAGAGTCCAGGCAAGGTTAACGTAGAAAGATTAGGGGAAACTTAGGGGGAAAAAAAAATGACTGGATTTGGTTCGATTCAATGGGATTGCGATTCGATTCAAGTTTGAGAGGGTCTGAAGCAATGAGTTGCTTGTTGTTCTTTTATGTACAGTGCACAAGAATGAACTTGTCAGTATGGTAAATGTGGCATTTCCTTCCAAGTTTTATCCCCCCCCAATAAAAGACGATTCGATATGGATGTCGAAAGCAGAACTCAATTCAATTTGATTCAATGCACTCGAATCTTTTGAATCAAAACTGATTTTCCAATTCAACTTTTTTTTGTTGTTTTTTTTCATCCCTGTGACAGTAGCTACCATAAAGTGTTTGCTCTTTAATTCCCACCAACGATAATGAACGTGTGGTGCTTTCATTTTTTTTTTTCACCTCTGCAAGAGAAGCTCATCTCCGAAAAGAAAAACGAAAGGATGATGCACTACCTGCTCTTTGACCCCGTGTGAAAATGTGCCCTCGATTGTATATGACAGCTGTGAAGCAGAGGATGAAGCCTCCTTCACGGCGAGAGATGTCTCTGCCCCCGGGGTTGTTGGAATAAGATGTCGTGGAAAAGACAAATATGGCGGGCCTGCAAAGAGGCAAATGAGATTCCCTCTTGTCGCTTTTCAGCTTGTTTTGAGAGCGAAACCCTCGCTCCCTCAGAGCTGGAAGGCTTTTTGTTGCCAGACAGTCGCGCGCCTCTGCCGCTCTGTGAAGTGAACGTATTCATAGGTGCCGGTGCGCCCGGTGATCGTTTGTTCTTTCAACGTCGAGCGCGGCGAATGCGACTCTTCCGGCACGTCTGAACTGTGTCGTCGGGACGCTCGCCGCTCGCGACGACGCGGCGTCCTCGTCTCTCGAGCGATGTGGAGTGACCCGCTGTAACGCGGTTCCATCCTCGACAAACACGCTACTTCTGAGATTATTTTGTGGGACGTATCGATCTATCTATCTGTCCTGGGAATACCTGTCTTTAAAAAAAAAGTGTCTTTTAATCATTTAGAATGTGTTTGAAATTCTACTACTGGTCTATAAACCACTGAATGGTTTAGGTCCTGAATACAGGAAAGAAATGCTAAAAAAAAAAAAGCAACAACAACAACAGTAGGCGCTGACGTCTGCAGTCTGGAGTTTAAAGACAATATGGTGAAGCAGCATTTAGCTGCTATGCTGCACGCAAATAGAATAAGCTGCCAACATGTAAATCCTGGGGGAAATCTATGCGTTTTTTCCCCCCTTACCTGTGATTAAAGTATTTGGAAGCATTTTTAAAATCAAATCTTCTAAAATCTTGTTTGGGCTGTATGCACTTTGGGTTTTGCTTGTAAAGGCCGCACGTTGAGTTACCTTGTGCATGAAATGCGCTTTCAAAAAATAAAGACGCCTTGGCTTGCCCAATTACTGATGTCTGCATCATGCAAAGTATTTCTGTGTCATGGATTAAGCACACGTCGTCTGTCTCCGGCTCTCTCGTGCTATTCTGCTTCTGATGGGCGCAAAAGGTAAGAATGACACCCCACGTATCCAGGTGGTGTGCCAGCTCCAGCTCCTTGGCGTAGAGCTTCACTCGCGCGCCGGAGCCCCCCCGCAAGGCCAAGTGATATGCCAAGATTTGGACTCAGTGAAGCTAATTGTGTGTGGAAATATCACGGCTGACCTCGGTTTAATTCCCCCAACGCTTGGCGAGATGCTGGAATGTCGGCGGTAGGACAGACAGCAGCCAGGCCCGCTGATGTGGAAAAGCAGGCGGTGATGAAGTGTGAGTAATAAGGGAGATTGAGGAGAAGCTAAAAGAGAGGAATGTGTTTAATTAGCTTGCTAATGAATTTTTTGATGCATCGGGAAGAGTGCGCGCCCGGTGCCGTCTTGGGGGCAACGGGAAAGAAGTGTGTGAGACGAGCGCGTACGCATGTTATGCTACGTGTCACTGTGCGCTGATGACATGCCAATGATTAATTTATGGCCTCATCTGTATGCCACAGCAAGAGATAGTGGGAAGAGGAGGTGGAGGAGGAGGAGGACGCATTGTGTTGTCAGCGCGTGATTGTAACGATGGTCGGCAAGATAGCGTCCCCGGAGAGACGAGATGCAAGGCAACGCTATCTGGAAGGCGTCTCCTCGCCCAGTGGTTCTCAAACGATGGTCCCCAGCCGTACCTCGGTGGTCCGCAAAATACATTTGCAATAAATTATGTTGCACCTTAAAAAAAAAAAAAAAAAAAAGAGAGCATATCTTCAAAAAAAAAAAGTTTCTTGCCTGAATTACCAAATGGATTTGGCATAACTTAATATTTCCATCATAGAGCATTATACCCCAACATTAACACACCGCCCCAAAATCATGTGCAATCACCAATTTAATGCCCTTAAAAACTGAATTTATTACTCTGACATTGATTTAAATGGTAGGGCGTGTCGCCAGTGCGTTTCCAATGCAAGCCTTCCACATCAAAGTTTGTCCCCCCCTACCGCACCCCCTGACCATAAAAAAAGCCTCTAATCCAAAACAAACAACTGCGGCTGCATCATCTTCTTCCCCAAGCTCTTTCTCAAATGTCTCATACCCAAGAGTGACGCAAGAAGTAAAACAATCAGATGGCTAAGCAGCGAATAGGTATCTGAAAAGGAATCTGCATCTGTTACCTCATTGCTGACCAGGAGACAGACCAGTAGTGTCGATTTTTTCCAAAAATATCAAATTGAACATATTTGGACAAACGAGGTTTCGTCATGACAGCAACGACTGGCACGCCCATAAAACAGTGCACCAATTCCTTCTCTCGACTTTAGCTTTGGGCCAATAAAAGCTCGGATATGATTGTGTCTCACATCAATCCGAAATCCCCGCAGCTCTTTTCTCACGTAGAAAAGTCACCGGTGCACTTTCAGCCATTCATTGAATGGAACAAACAGTCCAAAACACACAAACGCGGAATGAAAACACTCACGAGGAGCAATGGAGGAGACGCAAACAGTGAATAAACCGCTTGGCGGCTACTCCCAACTCCATAACTTTTAGGCAGATGTACTAACCTCTCCTTCACCGTGCCAGGAATGGATTGATGACATTTCAATTCATTTCTATGGTCGAAAAGTACAGGCACAACCGTATTGGGTTGAACAATTTGAGACCTTTGCCGCGGAAACGGCGGTAAAAGCCGACTGAGCGGAAATGTGGCTGTACCGCGATGTGTCACTTGACCCGCCGCTGACTTTGTCTGACTTGTAACCCGACAGGGACCTGCTGAGGCTGGGAGGAACGCTGCCGGGACACAACAGGAAAAGTCCGGACAGCAGCGAGGAAATTGTGCGGCAGCAAATGAGCCAAACTCTCCCCATCAGAGTGTGAGCTCCCGCCAAAGCAACCTCGTGGAGACGGAACGCTCAAAAGAAACTACCTAGAAAACTCTTGAGGCGAAGAGCCCGATGTAAAATTACCAGAGGGAAGCTCCCACTGCACAGGAAGGACCACTCGGATTACTTTGTGCGAGCGCTCGGAGACTTTGTGTTAAAAGAGAACGTTCCATTGCGGTCTGTATGTATGTGTGTGTGTGTGTGTGTGCGTGTGTTCTTCATTGGTGGTTTTGTGACTGTTGACATCAAGCCAAACTTCTTCTGGGCCCTCTCAGGTTGTGTTTGCATGTTTGCATGTGTTTTCTGCTGGTTGGGAGCCAGTTGGGCTTCTCTTCGAGAAACTTAGGATGAGGGTCTGGAAGGATCCGACAGTGCCAAGATTCAAAGACAGCTGTTGTAGGTGTCTTTTTAGTTTTGTTCTTTCCAGTATCAATTGGGAATCGTAAAACAAAAAAACAAACAAAAAAAAAGACATGGAAAAAGTAACTCATTATTTTGTTGCAAAGACTGAGCAGTATATCGAGCTAAATTGTGGCAACATAGCGTGAAACTGTTTATCACCAGGAAAGTTTTCCTGATTTTTTTTTGTGGTGGTGGGGGCGAGGCTATATAAAAACTTGAGCGCCTTTATTTGCGTCAGTGGTTGTTCATTGTAACTGCAAGTGACTCACATCCATTCCGACCAGTTAGCACATGAATTTAGCTCGCTAGGTATGCCGCCATCTCAAAAATGCATCTTCCCGGGATGTCACCCTTTTCAGAACAGCTCAGTGTTGTCATTTAAATTCCCGAATTTCAAATGAAGTCAAATGAAGCCCGAGAGCCCGTAAGCTTGCCGGCTAGCTCGTGGCGAGCTACTGTCATTGCGTTTTGGATTTACTCAAATTTGGCAGAGTTTGTTAAAAAAAACTCTCTTCACTGTGGTGTGTCTAACATGGAAGATATTTATTTTCACTTTACAGGAACTTGGAATTGGTCCGGTTTATGTGACCCGTATGTTTGATGAATTTACTTAGCTTGTTAGTCGCCACAGTCAGTCCAGACCACCAGCTAGCAGCTTCACTTATCGGAGGACAGGACAGGACAGGACTGGAGTCCCAAAAGATAGAGGTACCTAAGCAGCCTTCTCTTCTGTGCCTTCATGCGCTCCCGGAAGGATTCTTTCACGATCCTCCACAGCTTTCGTCGACGTAACAGTCCCCTTGAGGACCCATGAGCTTGAGAAATCGGAAATGCATTTGACCGACTGTGGTTGCTAACCTGCTAGCGTATCTTTTGAGGAATCCCAATTGCCAAATTTACGGGTCCCGTAAACACAACCAAATACTCAAATCAAACTCTGTCTTCTGGCATGTTTTTTTTTTTTTAATTCATTCATTTTATTTCATAGAATCAAATTCATTTCACTCTTTGTGTTGGATTTAAAAGCAAATAAAATAATGAGCTAGCTTTTGTTTTTACAATTGCCAGTTGAAAACAAAAAAGAACAAATGATACACTGATTTAAAATTTTTTTAACTTAATCTACTCTGTCTCTCTCTTCCTGTTACTTTTTTTTGGGGGGGAGGGGGGACAATTTCCAGGTAAATCTGCTTCCTCGTAAACTTCATGTCTTCCACACATGAACTGGGAGAGTTCCGTGTTCTAATTGTGTACAAAGCATCCGAGTCTTCACGTGGTCTCTCCTCGCAGAGCAAGACTGCAAAATGATACTGTGCTGGACACGTCCGTCACGTGCATGCCAAATTGGAATCTTCCGCGTTATATGTTGCTTTGCTGGCATTTGCTATGGACTTTAACGTCCGTATTTTCTTATTTGAAACCTATACGCATTGTTTTGAATGCTAACTTAAGACTGATGAAGTGTATTTGTGCTTTTTTTTTTTTTTTTACCGGGGGCTCAAAGTTTTTTTTATGACAACGCTCGCGTGCGTGCGTGTGTGTTTTTTTCCAGTGATCGATCAGACCAGAATGAATGAGTAAACCTTTGAAAGGACAAAATGGAGACAATTCCGCTATTCAGCTTTTTTCATGTTATTATTTTTTGCATTTTAATGAACGACGCCTGTGAATTGACGCTCTGACTTTGGCAAACATGTCAAGAGTTTGCGTTAAAAAGGTCACGCCAACAGATGAAAGCGTTCTGACCTTAATACTGAACTGACCCACAAATGTGGATTGAAAGTCGACGGCTTCCCGGTCCGTTTCTCCTGAATGTTGTCCGGTGCGGTTCCTCTTCAACTCAATGACTGCCTGTATATACCCCACGGTAACTCTTTTGGATCAATCCGCATTCTACTGCTTTCTGACCTGACTTTGGCCTCTGTGTGACCTTTGTTTACATGCTTGTTTGTTTGTTGGTGAGGAAGCAAACAATGGCAAAAAATGAAAAGTGTTAACGGTCATTACGTATCTGAAACTGTGTGTCACAAAGAAAGAAGAAGAAAACATGTGTCTGTAAGGGCAGACTTTTTCCTGTGCAATTCAAGGTGTAGTAGATACTGTATATCCAAAAAAAAAACAAAACAAAACACACACAAAAAAAAGCCAGAAAACTAGAAGAAAAATCTGCATTTCTCCTTCAATATTTTTACGATAATCATATGCAAATAAATTATTAAACAGATGTCTGGTATTCTCTTTGATTTCCCTGCATGTTCACCAGGCTGGAGTTTCAGGTCTCATTCCGGCCGAGAGATGAAAAGAAGGAATAGCAAACATGTTTTACCGCCACAGTTGGAAAATCGCAACAGTTTGGGATGGACTCGTTTTGGTTTTTAAGATGAGTTAACATTTGTGCCACTCGCCAAATAATGACATCACGTGCCTGAACCGCAATATTGTTTTTTTTTTTTTTTGTTCTAGGCTTTGTTACTGGAGAAGCTTCAAGGAGACAAAGTTAATATGGCTGTCGATGTTGTTCTGCTTTAATCTGTCAGCCAGGACACAAAGCTCAGAGCAGGTGAGCAAAGCTGTCACCTTTTGGTTTTTCTAGATGGGGAAGAGGCTCATCTGTCAGTGCGGATGTGTGTATTGGGTGGTGATGTGGGCTGGGTCTTGCCCAATCATCTCCAGCGACTGCTCAAACGACATCCTCCTTTTTAATCAGCCTCCAAATCGGGGACAGCTAGCCTGCTAGCCTTGTGTTCTTCTTATGTTGGCTCAATAGTTGTAACAACAACACAGAAACATCAGAATAAGCACCAAAGTGACTCTGGCAAAAATCCAGTAAGTTCACAACCGGGTTCTGATAGTTTGGGATTTTTCATTATAATTAGTTTTGATTTCATTTTGAGTATTTTTTGGGGAGGGGGCGTTATTTTTGTTTTTCTTTTTTTTTCTTTTTTTTATTAGTTTTCGTTTTTTCAAAAACACTTTTAATTTAGATTTAGTGTTAGTTTTAGTTTTGTAAAAATAATCTGTTTTACTTATATGGAAGATTAAAAATAAAAAAAAACTATGGTAAGCAGTGTGTTAAAAAAAAATAAAATATTTTTAGGCGCCATGGGGTTAGCACACCACCGTCACAGTGCAGAGGTGCACGATTCAATTCCACCGCCCGCCAAAGTGTCCAATGGGATTACTGCCCAGCATTTTCCAATTGCTTGATCGCCCAAAAGGAGGTTGTCTATCGCAGGAAACCCACGACACTGGTGGCCCTTTGACAAGAAATATCAAAGTGCTCGAGCTCACATGACTGACTGCTTCTGAGCGAGTCTCACTTAGACCTGAGCCCAGCCTAAAACCACGGCGTATTTCTTGATGTTTGCTCGCTATTTTCCATTGCGTCCGAGATCCGACAGCGTGATGAAACATTCAAACGATGCGTCCCGTCTCCCATTCAACATTTGAAGTGTCTGGCTCACTGCTCGCCGGAGAAAACATTCCCTCCGTCTCAGCAGAAACGGCTTTGGAATATATCTCGCCGCCGCCGCCGCCGCATCCGAGAGATGATGCAAAACGACTGCAAAGAGGAAACGTCTCATTAAGGTAGTGCCGATCGCACGGATTTTTTAATGAGCGCGCTGGGAGGTCGGAAAACTTGAGAGGATGACGGGATGTCGGCGCGACGGGCGCTTTTGGAGTTCGGTAACCTGCCAATTTGCGCTTCGCGGCCAAAAGGCGATGTCACCGCTGAGGCCGTGGGGATTAAGGCCGGATTAACGACAGCGGCTCAGTTAGCCCACGAAACCAAAGCCGAGACAAAATAGGGGAAGCTCACTGCAAACGCACGTCTGGGCGTACACGAAACACACGTTTGTGTTGGCTGCGCTAACTCGCGCAAATCTGCTGCTAGTGATTTGTCAGATTTAGCTCGAGTTTACTCGTGAACGGGCTTTCGGGAATGCGCCGGTCGGTTCTCATCGGAGCTCCAATGACTCGTCCGCGAGCCTGTCCAACGCCTTCAAATTGCAAGGGGTCGGCAAGCAGGCGCATTCGGAGCAACGAGTTGCTTGGCGGGAGGGTTTGCGACGCATCGGGGTGTTTTAACGGCGTAACGATTTGCCGCTGCCTGCGCTCAAACCGCCCGTGCCATCCCATCAATGGAAAAACGACACTTCTATTACGGATGAAGCGTGTGCAGCCGCTAAACCCCAAAAACTGCGAGGAGACAAAAATATCAGGCTTTGAAGCATCCGGTACACTGGCTCTTTTTGTGGAGCGATTTCTGCATCTCGAAATGGCAAGAACAAATGGAAATCAAAGTCTTTTCAGCAACAATTTATATGCAAAACCGCCGGGAAGGTGGCAAACGGCGCGAATGGGGCACGCTGAGAAAAAGCGACAGAATGATGAGACGCAACATGTGAGGGTGATGAAAATATATGAAAGCCCTTTTTTTTTTTTTTTTTTTGAAATCAGAATCTTCCCTGCTTTGACCTTGAATGCTGTGCAATTGCCATTGGTTTCTTTTAAGCGACGACTATAGTCTGATTATTCATTTTCTTCTACCGTCGCATTTCGGTTTGGTATGCTCACGTTTTCACATGATTTTTTTTTTTTACCACTTTTCTCATCCCAAATTTTGAACAAAGTTTTCGTCCGTACAAGAAAAACACGCACGCGTTACTCCAAATCGGTGGCTCGAGTCCATGCGCCATTCCGTTTGCTTTAGTCCATTCTTGACATTTTATTTTGAAAGCCAGACTTTCGACAGGATGTCTCGCACCCACGCGGCCGCCGACTTTGCCAGCGTGTTGCCGGGCACGTCGGAAGTGGTGTTGTTACTTTTCGAGTTGTTCATCAAAGCTGGCATCGCGCCGCAACACGCCTTTGCTTCTTCTTGTACGCGACGCGATGGAAAGTCTTGAGTGTCATTGGAAAAAGAAGCACGGAATACGAAAGAATTGCACTTTTTATAAACATCTTGTTAGGGATAATCCATAACTATGGAACTCTGGTCTCCCGAGTATTAGATTTTTTTTCCCATCTCATCGCAGACCGGTTTTCTTTTATCTAAGGAAAGAAAACTCACTCTTTTACCGATGTATTTGTTCTCGCTCGCTCTTCTCCCTCACAAGAGCCCTTTCGTCGCGTTTTCATAGCCGTCGATTAGCATGACGGTGCGCTTTTGCGCTCGCTTAGCTTCCCCGTCTGCCATTTGTACGCCGCCGCTGATGAGGAGGAGGAGGAGGATGAAGCTCCGCAGCTCGGTTTGATGAATTTAAAACGCGTCCGAGGCCGCGGCCATCGATTCAAGGGTGTCGCCAGCCCGGCGCGTACGAAGGGCGCCGTGCGCCGAGACGAGCGGACCAACTGCCGCCATCCCTCATTCTGCCGCTCAGCTCAGGGCCACACACGCGCGCCGACAAAAACAGAAGCAGGCGGGGCAGGCCTTCGAGCGCAGTCGTGGGAAATAAACGCGAGCATGAGGGGTGGCAGATGAAACGCCGTTTGTTTAACGATGTCATGAAATGTTTAAGCATTTTGTTGGGGGAGTTTTTCTTGTGATCGTGAGCGGGGTATGGCGGTGTACTGTCGGTAATGGCCTGTAGGTGGCTGTAGTGAGTATATTATTATGGCAGTTGGGGTTGGAAGAAGAAACCGGGACACGTGCTGAATGATTTCTCAACAGCGGTCCGCTAAGAGCGGAATAGATTCCGCGGGCAGATTGGCATGAAGTCGCACTTCATTGTGATGTGGAACGAAAATGACGTGCAGTTTTTGTGGCCCGCCGCGTTCAAGCGAGACAGATGATACCTACGTTTCCTCAAACTGTTCAACATTTCCGCTCTGTGTCACAAGACAAGAAAAGTAAACGAAAAAAGCATCTGAAACACGCGACGGACTGAAGTGAGTTTCAAAGCGGCGGCGCCGTCGGCTCTGGCTGACAAGACAGGCATCGTTTGCATGCATTTGAATACCTCG